ACTACCCCCCCCACTAGCTCCCCGTCTCCGACTGGGTCACCCCACTTTCTCCTGTAATTACCATGTCACCGCCCGAAGCTAGACTAACGTGAGTGAGTCGTCGGGTTTCTTCCGCTCCCTACCCACACACACACACACCACACACCAACACACACACACACACACACACACACACATACACACACACACACACAACACAACACACACACCACACACACACACCACACACACACACACACACATCACGACTACACACACACACACACACACACACACACACACCACACCACACACACACCACCTGCATGTCTTGTCGCCGTCGACTCCACACTATGCCCCAAGATCGTGTCTTCTGACGGTACTAATACCCGAATGGTGGGAAGCCGACAAAGAGCGAAATTATGTACAAAAAATGAGGGAGAAGGGAGGGTTAAGGGAGGAAATGAAGGAAGAGAGGAACAAAGGACTAATGATTACAAAGGGATTAGGTGACGTAAATTTGGTTAGGAAGAAAAGAGTGTTTGTGTGTCAGGCCACTGTAGGGTGCGCGCCGACAGGCTTTCCTCGCAGAGACCCTGGTACCTCCCTCTCCGTCCGAGGCTCTCTTTGGTGAGGTATTTGGTGTGTCCATAAAGAGAAAGTGTGTAACTCTGTGTGAGTGATTAATTGATTTGGTCATGTGTTGTGTGTTTATTTGTGTACTTTGGACAATCTTTTTATAGGTGAGCAGTTGGCCGTGAAGGTATTGTCCTATGTAATATATAATTAAATGTGTGTTTTAGAGGTGTGTGACTCGGTAAACCACCCCCCACCCCCCGCTGTTCACAGCCTGGAAATCTACTCTGACTTCTGTTACACTGCTGTGGCAGCTGCCCATGCAAAATGTGCAGAGAAAAACTGTAGCAACATAAGAGCAAATGTGTGAAGAGTGGGAGAGTTAAAAAACACCACTTTAAAAATAGTATACAATTACAGTCATCATCTGTGTTTGATTATTTTAAAGATATGTTACTGTTGTTAAGTGTATTGGTGGATTTCCTTATGCTTAAACAAGTTACACAAACTTTAAACAGTGAAATTAAGGGAGGAATGCTTTGATATTTTCAAAGCTCCATTTTCGAGACTCAGTTGGAATGATTGATTCCCCTTTCATGCCGGTGCAGTCACTATGGAGTTGATTAACTTATCTTAGCATTGAGGCTGGAAGAAGAAGACATTTTCCATTTAATTTGTATAAAAAACTCAAATGTAAACATTTTAAATTGTTGTTTACTTTTTGCTAGGCGAACAGCAGCTGGATTTTCCACTGGTTTTGTTATCTAACGGGGAAGTAATTACCCAGAGAGAAATAGTTCCAGCCAAGTGGCAAACTCCATGTAAGCAAATGTGTAAATGCCTTAATCCTACATTCTTCCTAATCTCCACTGTCTGCAAATAGATGTCTGTTTGTATAAAAGTCTACGAAAAAGAGGCCCTACCCCCAACTTCATTTATTACCCCAGTAAACATTTTGACTTTATCATCCCAATCGCACTTCGACCCTCTTTTGTCAATTGGCAACGTCCACATTCCAAACTGGAGGCTGCAAAATGCTATTCAACAAACCAATAAGTACCAAATAGTAACCTAGCTTGGGGCGGGGAAATTAATTGCAGGCAACGAGGGGTTTTATGCTAGATGCCGATTGCCGATGCTTTCTCACTGCTCATTACTGCTACAAACACAACTTTTTTTTCCATAATATCTATATCTGTTGTTATCTTTTATTCTATTTTATTCTAATTTCCCTACCATTCACTCTCTGGACCCCATTCAGGCTCTGGATAAAGATTCATACACACACATCCCTGGTTACCATGGAGGCATGCCAGCAAAAGGTCGGCCAAACAAAGGTCTTTTCTTCCCGTCTATCCCCCAGCTGACAGTGAAGTCACTGTTTATGTTTGTTTACAACACTGTGCAGCTAGCAGGAGTTCGCAGCCACTGTACCACATCAGTAACTTCAAGCTAAAGTATGTGTGTGTGTGTGTGTGTGTGTGTGTGTGTGTGTGTGTGTGTGTGTGTGTGTGTGTGTGTGTGTGTGTGTGTGTGTGTGCTTCATAAATCAGATTTCACGTCTATAATTTTCCTCTGGGAAATAATTTTTGCGTTACGGTTGNGGTTGATGAATTATCATCTAATGATTTGTATGATGTTTTATTTATGTTAAAGCTCACTTTGAATGATTCTATCTAATGATAATGTAGAAAAACTAATATTTTAAATTTCGGGACGGTCCACATTAATTTCGGGACGGCTTAGATTGTATTTTGGGACGGTTCCGGGAGGATGGTGAAAAAAGTTAGTCGAGAGCCCTGATTGCCGTTCGAAAGCGCTGGTGACGCTGTAGTATATATGCCAGGACTGTAGATGATGCTGTTCTCACAGAATCAGCCCATGAAAAGACACTGTTAAATTGAGCGAAATGAGGAATGGCTAAAATGCATCATCTGTTTGGTATTTTGAAAAATAAAAAGTATAAATATGCCTTATATAGGTATGGTCCTACACTATATTATTCAAATATAGCATGATAGGTCCACTTTAAGAGAATTGAACAGTATCTCAAATATTTTGCAGCTGATGGTGCATGTTCAGTTTACAGCGATGAAAGAGTTGCAATCATGATCATCTTTTTAATGCGACTTCCACCATATACTGTATGAGCATGGACCCATAATCACGTGACCAAAGTTTTATACTTAAGTCACATGATGACAACAGAGCAACCTCAGTTAACCACAGTTAAAATGCTGGCTATAGCCGCTAACCAATGGAAGAGGGTGAAAGACACTGAACAAACTGAGGGAGAATGCAGAGTTGGGTGAGTGAGCCCTTATAAAAACAAGTAGTCAAATTAATATTTAAAAAAAACACAAGCAAATTTCCCATTTACTGACCTCCTCCCCATCATAGACCTAATGGACACCATAATAGCCTGAAGGCATTTAAGACTGTGGCCAGACAGCAGTGTGGTCTGTCTGTGTGCACATGACTGATTTGACATTTCAACTTGGCTCAGGCTCCAGTGTGTCTGAGCCTGTCGTCATGATGTGAATGGTTGTGATTCTGAGCGACTCACCAGTGTGTCGTCTGCCTCCTTCTCTCCCTGTTCCAGCTGGCTGTCTTCCTGCTTTTGCATCTCCTGGCTGTCTGATTGGCTGTCCTCCTCAGTTTGACCTCTTACCTTGGTCTCTGATTCGTCCCTATAATCAGGCTGCTGCATGCATGCATGGGCAGGTTAATGAATAAAGAAAAAAACAAATAAAAAATAAAACAAAAACAGTGGAAAGAAGAAGGGACAAGGGAGGAGGAGACGTTGTGTCGTGATAAAGAAAATGAAGAAAAAAAGACAAAAAAACACAACAATAAGAATAATTCAACCAAAATTGTGTCCATCCGTATGATAACATTAAGACAATGAAAACAATTAAATAAAACAGTTGATATGGATCTCACAAGACAAAGAAAAGGATGTAAAGAAAAAAGAGCTTGGTCGAAGAGGAGAAGGAGAGAGTGGAGAAAAGGAAGAAAAGGAGGATGGAGGGCAGAATGAATGGCTGGAGGAGAAGAAATGGAAATGGAAGAGTAGGGAAAAGGAAAGACAGGGGAGTAACAGTCATGGGAGTTAGGGAAGGGAAAGAGAGAGAGGGGGGAAATAAAGAATAAGTAGTAAGGCGGTTATGATAAAGAATCAGAGCGAAGGGGAACAAAGAAAAAAATGTGCAGATGGGGAAGCAAAGCAAGGACAAAGGAAAAGAAGGAAGAGCGGGAACAAGGGAAGGAACGGGATTTGAGGTGAGCAAGGAGGAGTCAAGAGTATGAAGTAGTGAAGCAGTTAAGGAGATAACAAAGAGGAGGAGGTGTGAGGAGTTTCAAAGAAGGGGAAGAGGGCGATGGAAGTGAAGTGCAGAAACCGACCGTTATGGTGCCCATGCAGTGAGGAAAAAGGGAAGAAGGAAGGACGGAGGGAAGGGGAGAGGGACAAGGAATGAGAGATTGGAGGGGTGTTGGGACTCAGTATCGGCCTCTAATGGAGTCTAAACATAAAAATGTATCCTCTTAAAACTTAGCGCAATTTCCTCACATCCTTATCCAAATTATAGATTTGTATTTATAAGAAATACTTTTTCCCTGTAAAGGCAGTAAAGCAAATTGCAGAAATATCCATAATTTTTGGGATTTGTTGATACGCGGATAAAAGTTGCAATTTAGCGACAACATTTTTAAATATAAAAAAGGATGGGTACTGTTTTATAAAACTGTTCCTATGTGTTACTATAACTGTCATTCTTTTGATTGCATTTTGACCATTACATAGAAATGAGATGCTCACACTAAGTCATAAATAATAGACAATCAACCGTAACGCAAAAATTATTTCCCAGAGGAAAATTATAGACGTGAAATCTGATTTATGAAGCATGATTGGAAATCTCTTTAGAGCAAGCTCACTGTCTCATCTGCAGCTTTGAGAAATCTGTATTGACACCTCTTTCAATAATAAACCCACGTAGGTTTCACTACCAATATATTATATTGCATACAATTGATGGATTTTAATGTCTCAGATTGTTTAATATTAGTCTTCGGACTACAGATGTTGGATTTTAGCCATGGAAATATGAAGTACATTTCTAAGTGTTGTGTTTATACAAATATATCTCTTATGATGACGTCTACAGAGCTGAAATTGACAACCTCAGAAACTAGGTTCCTTTAAAGGTTTAAATAATAAAACCAACACTGTCCTATTTAGTGCTTTTAAACATATTCTTTTCTATTCTATAGTTGTCACAGTCGTTTAAATTATGATGCCGCATTCCGTTTCACTACAAATGAAAAAAAGGGAATCTATGGATACAAATGTAACTCTATTACTCAATCACACTAAACCCAGGCTGCATGTTTTATGAAATGTTGATGAAGAAATGTATATAAATAAATGGTGCTTTTATGTGCTCCTGATAACTTTATTAGGTCAATTCATACTAACAGGCTCCATTTGAGGCCTAAAGCAGCATCCATGCACCAGGTTAGGAAGCATTGGACAGCATGCAGAGGACACGGGGGGCCTCAGGTGGAGAGGGTTACACTGGACGCTCAAATCTGAATACATCTAATACACCAATATTAGTATCAGAAATCCTTTATTAGTCCCACAGCGGGGACATTTACAAATGTAACATGGGGCTATTTGTCAACTTACACTGATCATGTTAGGTGCCTATAGAATGGATAGGCAAAAGAGTCATAAACAGATCAGAATAAATTAAAACGCAATGATAAAATTGCAGTGGTATTTCCGATTTGAGCGTGTTTTGTAAATCCATTCTCCACTGTGAGGAGAAACTACAGCAGATGGGATTGGGAGGGTTTTCAGCCAAACTAATGGAAAGGCACTTGACCAAACACAAAACTGAAGAATAGCACAAAAAAAAAGCAACAACAGAATATTCAAACCCAACAAAGTGAAAGCTTAAAAAAAATATACTGATAATAACTGAAAGAGACAGAGTGATAAGGAGTGAAAAGCAGGAGTGTGTCTTTTACCTTCTCCACAGTAGTGTTCAGTACATCCTGCTCCTCTCCAGAGCAGGGGGGGGGCAGAGGAGACGCTCCTTCCACCTGAGGGTCCCTTCCACCTGCGGGGGTTTTCCCCTGGCTGTCCACCCGCTCCACAAAGGCCTGGAGCTGCGTGTGGAGGGCCTGGAGCCGGCTGGTCAGAGCCCCCACCAGGGGCCGGTCCGCCAGGTCAGACAGCTCGCAAATCTGGGGCAGAAATAAATAATTTATCTCAAATTTGTTTATTATTGGTTGTATAAGGGGACTGCTTGGGATTATGTGGGGCTAATGCAGCATGTGTATGAACAATCAGTGTAAGAAATACATTAAAAAAAGTTGTAATATAAATAAAATAAAAATGTATAATGAGGCTGTGTTCTTTGCGCCTCTAGTTTCTTCATCTTCAAAATCAGAATGAAAATTAGGTTTATTGCAGGTTTACACATACAGGGATTTCCTTTGGTGTACAATGGTGCATACATAGGACTAGTGCGTTGGTGTTCGGATCAGGGGAACACAGGTTCAAACCCCACTGCAGTCAGCTTGTCGTAGACAAGAGACTTCACCCCAAGATTGCCACAGTATTAAGTATGTAAGTCGCTTTGGATAACAGCGTCTAACAGGTAACATGTAATGTAATATAACTAAATGGTGTGGTATACACCAGGGGTTTTCAAAGTGTGGGTAGGTGAGCCTCCCCTCAGAGAACATAAGAACAGCCGCGCCCCCCCTCCCAATTATTATTGCTGTTATTATTATTATTATTATTATTATTATTATTATTGTTGTTGTTGCTATAATGCAGGGGTATTCAATTGCATTTCAAAGAGGTCCAGTAAGAGAAAATGTAATTAAATGCTCTGTTTTCGCTGTCTACCTTCCGCCATTTGAAATTACTCCGACTGTTTTTCTCCTCTTGTCTCGTCTCTGTGTGTGTGTGTTTGAATCTATCGTGCTGACTGCACCGATTTGATTGGCTGAGTAGCGTCACCTCCTTAAAACATTAAACAATAACTTTTTTAAACCTTTTTATTTTTATGTTTTAAACATATTGTATAAAACTCCCCCACTACTTGGACTATTCCTTGCACCCCTCTAGAATAAGCCCGAATGGTCTCAACTATATTGCATCAGTAACGTGCACTTGTTATTATAACAAGATCGCAAGGACACTGGTAGCGATCGGAAAATTGAGTGTTGTTCAGTTTGTGTGTTGTGGAACATGCGTGTCCGTGCATGAAAATATACCACACACCCAATTACAATTGCATGTTCAATTCACTACCCTGGAAGTTAATACAGTTGTTAAAGTTGGAACAGCCTGTGGACAGCCGTTCTTCCTTGCATGTCAGTCGCCGACACCTTCTTACAGAGGACAGGCACATCTAGCTGCAGCACGACCCGTATATTTCCGCACGCCGTGTTCTCAAGACATATTTTTTTTAACATTTTCAACATGGTGGATAAATCCTTATATGCTCCAGGCAACACACTGAACGTCAACTTTGCCTCCTTATTACACTCACACCCCTACTTTAGTGGGAACAATGAGTCTGCGTCTTTGATGCACAGAGGAATAAACGCAGATCATCGTCTGGCTGCAGCCTTTACCGGTACTTGCTTTTGATCAAAGTCAATGCGGAAAACCTGCACTCACACAGGTAGGTGGAGGTGAAGGGAATGAGCACTTTTACAGCCTTTTTGGCGAGGTGGGGGAACTCGGTCTCCACAGACAGCCACAAGTGGGCAAGTGTCACTTTACTCGTCTTTTTCTCGTTCTTTTGTGTCTCACACTGCGCCTCCCCTGAAGCTCTCTGGCGCCCCCCAGGGGAGGCGCGCCTCACACTTTGAAAACCGCTGATATACACAAAACACACACACCAAAAATAAGAATGTTTCTGCTATCTTAATTTAAGACAAATGCACTTATATATTAGGCCAATTCAAGAATGTAATTCTTATTGAAAGCTTTATTTGCTGATTTTTAAACTTAATTTAAGATTTACATTCTAAGTTTAAGACAAAGTCACTAATATATTGTGTCAATTAAAGCCAATGATTCTTATTGTAAGCTTTCTTTGCTAATTATAAATCTTAATTTAAGAAATACATTCTTAGTAAACTCAACCAAAACACTCATTTTAACTTATTCTTTCTTAAATAATGCAGAAATCCTTGCTTGTAATAAGCAAAATGTGCTTAAATTGTTGTCTAGTTTCAAGGCCCATTACGGTCTTTCGCTAGATTTTAATTCTAGTTTTAAGAATTATAGCCAAGCAAATTTGGCTCATCCCATTGGCAGATTTTTTGCTTGATAGAGGACAATCTGACTTGATTCAAGAATATTTTGCTTGTTTTTGGAAGGGCTGTTTTTGCAGTGGCATTTCTGGCAATCTGTTAGTCTCGCTGAGTCTGCAGCAGGCCACATTTTGGCCTTTGTTGTGGCTCAAAATCTGACATGCAGAGAAAATGTTGGTCTCATTTCAAAGCGGAGAATCTGCATATTAATCCCGATATGTTATGATCCACTAAAGCTAGGCACGATATGATACGAAAATGTTTTTTTTATCCACGCCATCATCTGAACTATAAAGGGAGCTAGGATGGACAATTGAGTAGGATTGAACTTGTGCTGAGTCATTAGGAACATTCTATTCTGGTGGCTAATATAAAGTTATGGTGTACTTAAAGAGCAGAGGACGCCATGTACCTGGCTGTGAGGTTTCTCCAGGTCACACGACTCCGCTGCGTCGCTGCTGCAGACCTTGTGATAGATGGAGGGGGAAGAGGAGAGGCAGTTGGACTCGGGGGAGGTCAGGAGCTGTATCGCCGTGGAAACCAAGCGAGCCTGGTCCCTCATGGCCAGCAAGGCATCATGGTCCTTCTGCCCCAGGTACCCGGGGAGCGAGGTGGTTGCGTCAGCGTTGTCCTCGATCTTCTTTTTCCGCTCCTTCATCTCCAGAGTGTCGGTCTCCCCCCCCACCGGCTCTTTGCGGTGCGGCGGGCTGATGGAAAAACAGAGAGAGCATGATCAGAGCTTCTCATGCATGTTGGGATTGAACGATGGGATTGAAAGTTCATCATTGACCCTAAAGTGGTTAGAAAATGTGTAAACATCTATAATTTACCTAAAGCCTCCGAATATCTACTAAATTGACTTTGTTCTGAGCAGAGATGGGGCCGTTACTAAAAAAAAGTAATATATTACACTACTTCGTTACTCTCTACATAAAGTAACTTGTTACTTTACTCGTTACTTTACTCGCAGGGCCGGCCCGCCCCTCCCTACAGGCAGATCACGCAGACTGCTAAAGTTTCAAATGTTTTCTTTAGTTCAGTTTCCATTGTCGCATAAGACTGATCCAGATAGCTCCTGAATGTTTTCCTATCTGACCATCCTCTGTCTCCTGCTATCTGTATTTTGCGCAGTATATCTCTGAAAGATGGTGATTCCACTGTGCAAATGGGCAACATTTCCTCTACTATGAAGGATGCTACAAGCCTGTCCATCTCTGCTTTGGTTACCGGTCCTCCAAATTCACATTTTTGCTGCTTCGGAGTCGCGGCGGCACACTCACAATATCCTCACTCTGGGTTCGGGGGTCCTTAGCTATTAGCTTCACCTTAGCATGTGTTCTGTGCAGGTGTTTGTTGAGGTTTGACATGGTGTTTACAGCAGTGGATAACAGCTTCTAGCCTGGACACAGTTTGCACCTCACCGTCACATTCCTGTCTATTCTTCAGACGAACTCAAAATAATGGGCATACCTCCACCCCTCGAAAGTTATCGCTCACTCAGACATTTTTATACAGCAGTGGACGTGGAGATGTGGACGCGCAAATCGCGCAGATTACGTAGGCCTACATATAAACCTGCGGCGGAAACCCCTCTTGTCTGTCAGTGTGATTATGACTGATTTTAGAAAGTAACGAAGTAATGCGTGTCGGGGCAATGTTAGTAACTGTAGTGTGATTACTGAATTATAAAAGTAGCGCGTTACACTACNGTGGAGATATCACTGTCAAATCAATCGACAGTAAGGAGAATTCTTACTTCCGGGTGTACAATTCTATGATTACTACGCTTTTTATTCATAATTTCAGCCGGAGGGAGGGGGAGCGGCGCTGAGGAACAGCAGAGTGCGGGCTGACAGGTGTCTGTGTTGACATTCCCCTTATTGTGGAATAAGGGGGAAGGCAGAGACAGGCTACAAGCAGAGATGGGGTCATTACTAAACAAATGTAACATATTACATATTACTTTCAAAAAAAGTAATATATTACGCTACTTCGTTACTCTCTACATAAAGTAACTTGTTACTTTACTCGTTACTTTACTCGCCGAGCACGTACGAACTGCGCATGCGTGAGTGGCAATAACTCTCCTTACCAGCAGGTGGCGGTAGTGTGTATTCGTCATTCAAAACAGTCAACAACCGGAAGACAGAGAAGAAGAACAGAGTACGTGCTATTAGCATGCAACAAATAGCTGTGCGTTAGCTTCACCTTAGCATGTGTTCTTTGCAGGTGTTTGTTGAGGTTTGACGAGGTGTTTACAGCAGTGGATAACAGCTTCTGGCCTGGACACAGTTTGCACCTCACCGTCACATTCCTGTCTATTCTTCAGACGAACTCAAAATAATGGGCATACCTCCACCCCTCGAAAGTTATCGCTGACTCAACCATGTTTATGCAGTACTGCACGTGGAGATGTGGACGCGCAACTCGCGCAGATTACGTACATATAAACCTGCTGCGGAAACCCCTCTTGTCTGTCAGTGTGATTATGACTGATTTTATAAAAGTAAAACGAAGTAATGCATTTCGGGGCAATGTTAGTAACTGCTAACGCGTTACACTACTCCGTTACCGACAAAACTAATATTATTACAGTAACGCGTTACTTTGTAAAGCATTACACCCAACTCTGGTTGTGAGATTGTTTGTCAAAATTTGCTTTGAAGGTAATGACTTAAATATAAATCTCAATCTTGCATAGCCAAAGATGTTTCATGGTGCCAAGAGGATGATTTCTACTGACTTTGGTGACCAAAAACAAACTACTCTACGCGGTACCACTTTACAATAAGACTACCCTTATAAAGGATTCACAAAGGGTTTATAATTAGGTTGTAAACACTTTATTAATCATTAAGAACCATTTATAAACCAATTCTAACATAGTTTTCAGTGTTTCCCTTAGGTTTACTTCTTTGGGGGGGGGGTGCTGCCTATAGCTTAAATCATCTGGAGCAGAGAGAGAGAGGAGCTGTGGATTATTGTTATTGATTAATGCAGTGTTTCTTAGGGTCAAAAACACTAAACTCACAACTTAAAATGAAAGCCTTTAATTTATTTAATAAAAGAGCACATGTTCAATGTGAAAAGTGACAGTAGATATAGATTATTTGCAATTTGGTGCTATATTTTTTTTTTAAAAGATAAAAAAAACAAAAACATATATAATTATTATTTTTTTTAAACACTTTGAATTTCAGGGTGGTGCGGGGCTCCGTTGGCGGGGCTCCGTTGGAGGGGCACAGCGCCCTCCAAGAGAATGGTAGGGGAAAAACTGGTTTTCATACATCAACACAGGCTCACTATTTGGCAAGATGACTAAGCCTTATAATGGCACTAGCTTACTTCGTCTTCTTCATCAGCCAGCATCCTTGGTATCTGTTGTTCACTGAGTTGATTCCCCCCCTTCCATTTGGATGTTTCTTGGCATCTCTTTATGACCATTTATTTACGAGTTACCAACATTTATAGTTGCCAAAAGGGAGCCTTATTGTAAAGTGTAAAACACATTCCCATTTATTAATGAGTTACTACCATTTCTAATATATAAGGCTTAGCAGTACAGATAAATGTGGGCTCACTATTTGGCAACCGGTCACATTTGCGCTGTTTATCTCATGTCTTATAAAAGCTTATTAATGATTTATAAAGTGTTCACAACCTAATTAAGAAATTAATTACAAACTATTCGTAAACCATTTATAAGGGTAGTCTTATTGTAAAGTGGCACCCTCTACGCTACTGTGTCTTTATTGAAGTGCATTTTTGTCAATAGGGCACTTTATAACTGATTTGATTTCTTCCCGACTGCATAGGATCAGATTGTTTGGTTTTATATTTATTGAGTTATCAACAAAGCTGTTGAAGTACTACAATAAATAGTCTCACTGAAGAATTCCCATTAGAGAACCAAATTGCAGAAGCACAATTTCATCCAAAAATGTTGTACTGAAACTTAAAAACTACCTTGGGAGGCACTCAGCTGAGTCCCCGGCCTCTGCGTCCGTCTCCAGAGCCAGTCGTAGTGAGTAGGAAGAGGAAGAGGAGGAAGGAGCGTTGTAGGAGGCCAGATCGCACCGCTGCAGGTTAGACAGAAGCACTCGGTTCTCGTACTGCAGCTTCTTCACCTTCCCGCCCAGCTCTCCAATCTGAAGCCTCGCCAGTCTGAGCTCCTCCTCGTGGGCGGGGGCGTCTGTGCTGATAAGCACCGCCCCTTCCTGTATGGAGTGCACCGGGCTGTCGTTGAGCAGCCCGTCCAATGAGTTAGACGACATGGAGGACGTTGGAGGCGGGAAGTCAGATTTGTAGCGGTTAATCTCGTTCATCAGGAGTTTGTTCTGTTCCTCCATCTCGATGAGAGACCTCCTCAGAAGCTCCGCCTCCTCCTCCACAAACTGGAGGTGTCTCTGGAGCTCCATGACGTTTTCAGACGAAGCCCCGCCCCCAAGAACCATGGCTCCTCCTAGGCCAAGACCTGACCCCAAACCACCGCCAACACCACTTAGGTCCTGAGGGCAATCTAGGAAAAAAATGACGATAGGTAAGTTACATTTTAATTTGAAACGGTATAGTATATGGGAAAAAGTCCTTTCTGATGTATTGTTGAGAGTTATATGAGAAGATTGACAACACTCTACTATATGGTAAATATAAACCTGGAGTTAGAGGCCTGTTAGCTTAGCTTAGCATAAAGACTGGAAACAGTGGGAAACTGCTAGCCTGGTTCTGTCAAAGCGATGGTTGTGACTGTATACATTCTTCTTAACGCGGATGAAAAGCAGCGCACAGTCCCTAGTAAACCACAAAAAAGCAATGACTTGATATTTTCAATCGATCCTATACGTGAGTTTAAAAGCTACCTTGCTTCATGTCGTCCATCTCAGCTCGGAGCCCCCTGTTCTCCACCTCCAGCTCCACGATGCGTCGACTCAGCAGGTTGGCCTCTTCCTCCACCAGCTTCAGGTGGACTCTGATCTCCGCCTCACGGGTGTGGGGGGAGTCGGCGACCTGAGGGAGAGTTAAAGACATTAAGAAGAAGAGAACAACCTCCTTCATCACCTCCACACTTTCAATCAACTGTAGACATTTAAAAAAGCATGAATTAATGAAGCGCATACAGGTCTTTCTACCATTCTTATCCCATTTGTTTGCACCACTCCATTCATTGTTGGAAAGGACAAACTGTCATGTTGTTATCAATATGAATAGTTATGAATATATTTTCAACATCAACAGTCCTGGATATTCAAATCCTCATTTTGTTGTCCTGGATCATGAGTCCTGGAAGGATATCCTCGTGGATTCATCTTCTTATTATAGACACATGCATTTCCAAACATTTGGACTACCTATGTTGTACATGTATTATCTTTTCAATTTACACACGGCATCTATTGCACGTCTGTCCGTCCTGGGAGAGGGATCCCTTCTCTGTTGCTCTCCCTGAGGTTTCTCCCATGTTCCCCTTTAAACTGTGTGGTTTCTCCATAAGTTTTTCCTTCTACGATGTGAGGGTCTAAGGACAGAGGGTGTCGTATTGTCATACTGATATTCTGTACAAACTGTGAAGTCCACTGAGACAAATGTAACATTTGTGATATTGGGCTATATAAATAAACATTGATTGATTGATTGAAGGTCAATGATAGAAATATAGAATATAAAAAATCAAGAAGATACTGTAAGTGATCTCTACAATAAAACAGTTTAGTGCTGGATGTACAAAGATATTAATAGGAGGATGTGCAAAACAGACAAACTAATTAACCTTTATTTAAACATTAAATAATACTTTAGATTAAGGTCTTCTTTTAAATAAGAAAAAAGCTTTGGGGGTATCTATCTACAGATAAATATTAAGCCTGACAAAGTACTTAACATCTAATATATCGCTTTCCTGCAATGTTAACTATGTTGAAGCACTTATTTTAACTGATATTATACATAATACTCTTATGTATGTAGATAGTGCAAAATGTGCAGAATTCGACAGTTTAATGGTGGAGGTATACACACATATTGATGGATGTCTTGTAATGCGCTGTTGAGGAACCTGTGACCCAAGTTGTTCATTCATTGCATAACTACACCGTAGTTGTGTATATGATATGTCAATAAACCTTAGAAAATCTTGAAAGGGATGTGCAAAATAGCCAATATATAGTTTTTAATTAACTATTGAATAACGAGTAATGAATATACTTTATTACTCGTTTCCATTCATGTCAATTGCAGATAAATGTTTAGTCTTCTCAAGCACCAACTATCAAATATCTCTCCTGATTGTTGGCACTTGACAATCACCTTACCTGAATTTTACTCAGGTGTAACTAAAGTCTGATTTAAGGGTTGTTTATATTTCACATCATTAATCAGAATCTGCAAAGTAACTCAAATAACTCAAATAAATGTAGTGGAGTAAAAATTTAGTTCCTGACGGACGCCAAAAAAGCTCGAGATTANTGTGTGTTGTGTGTGTGTGTGTGTGTGTGTGTGTGTGTGTGTGTGTGTGTGTGTGTGTGTGTGTGTGTGTGTGTGTGTGTGATAAGTGGCAGTCTCTCCAGGTTTAGATGTCTTAAAGGTTGACTTGCTGAGACAGCACTTTGTGGCTCTTATTGATTTGTTAGACCATCTAGAGGAAAAC